GTCAATTTTCGACAGTTTCCAAGGGGAACCATCAAAGATTTTGGGCGATTTTTTCGAAATGCCATTTACTTTCGATTCTGGAGGCTAAAGATCACGAAATCAGGCCGAGGCTATTCTTCACCGATAATGAAGTCTATTGATCCTATTATCCACAGATGATAAGCCCATTCACCAATTTGTGCCAATTTAATTTCGGATGGCATTTTCGTAATTTTTTGGGCGACGAAAGACCATTTTCTTTGGATATTGAAGGCTATAGATCACGGATTCGGCCTGAGGCTATTCTTCAACGATGATTAAGTCCATTAAGACACGATTTGGCCGGATTTATTCCGGGTCAATTTTTGGCATATTCCGAATGGGTACCATCACTGATTTTAGGTCATTTTCCCGAAATGATATTTTCTTTTGATTCTAGAGGCTAAAGATCCGGAATCAGGCCAAGGATATTCTGCACCAAAAATTAAGTCTATTGATCCTATTCTCCACGAATGATACTCCCATTAAGCACCGATTTGGGCCAATTTATGTTCGGATGGCATTTTCATAATTTTTTGGGCGACGAAAGGTCATTTTCTTTGGATATTGAAGGCTACAAATAACGGATTCGGCCTGAGGCTATTCTTCAACGATGATTAATTCTATTAAGCACCGATTTGGGCGGATTTATTCCGGGTCAATTTTTAACAGATTCCAAAGGGGTACCATCACAGATTTCGGGCGATTTTTCCGAAATGTCATTTTCTTTCAATTCTAGAGGCTAAAGATCACGAAATCAGGTCGAGGCTATTCTCCACCGATAATGAAGTCTATTTATCCTATTCTCCACGGATGATAAGCCAATTAAGCACCGATTTGGGCCATTTTAATTTCGGATGACATTTTCCTAATTTTTTGGGCTACGAAAGACCATTTTCTTTGGATATTGAAGGCTACAGATCACAGATTCGGCATGAGGCTATTCTTCAATGATGATTAAGTCCATTAAGCACCGATTTGAGCGAATTTATTCCAGGTCAATTTTTGGCAGATTCCAAAGGGGTACCATCACAGATTTAAGGTGATTTTTCCGAAATGCCATTTTCTTTCGATTCTGGAGGCTAAAGATCACGAAATCAGGCTGAGGATATTCTCCACCAATAATGAATTCTATTTATCCTATTCACCACGGATGATAAACCCATCAAACACCAATTTGGGCAAATTTATTTTCGGAGGGTATTTTCGTAGAGCGAAGAAAGACCATTTTCATTGGATATTGAAGGTTACATATCACATATTCGGCCTGATGGTATTCTTCAACATTGATTAAGTCCATTAAGCACCGATTTGGTCGAATTTATTCCGGGTCAATTTTCGGCAGATTCTAAAGGGGTACCATCACAGATTTAAGGTGATTTTTTCGAAATGCCATTTTCTTTCGACTATGGAGGATAAAGATCACGAAATAAGGCCGAGGTTATTCTCCACCGATAATGAAGTCTATGATCTTATTCTCTACGGATAATAAGCCCATTAAGCACCGATTTGGGCCAATTTAATTTCGGATGACATCTTCGTAAATTTTTGTGCGACGAAAGACCATTTTCTTTCGATATTGAAGGCTAAAGATCACGGATTCGGCCTGAGGCTATTCTTCAACGATGATTAAGTCCATTAAGCACCGATTTGGTTAATTTATTCCAGGTCAATTTTTAACAGATTCCAAAGGGGTACCATCACAAATTTCTGGCAATTTTTACGAATTGTCATTTCTTTAGATTTTGGAGGCTATTGATCACGGAATTAGACCGAGGTTATTCTCTACCGATAATTAAGTCTATTGATCCTATTCTCCACTGATGATAAGCCCATTAAGCACCGATTTGGGCAAATTTAATTTAGGATGACATTTTCGTAATTTTTGGGGCAACGATAGGCCATTTTCTTTGGATATTGAAGGCTACATATCACGGTTTCGGCTTGCTGCTATTCTTCAACGATGATTAAGTTCATTAAGCATTAATTTGGGCGAATTTATTCCGTGTCAATTTTTGGCATATTCCAAAGGGGTACCATCACAAATATTAGGCAATTTTTTCCAAAATGCTATTTTCTTTCGATTCTGGAAGCTAAAAATCACGAAATCAAGCCGAGGCTATTCTCCACCGATAATGAAGTCTATTGATCCTATTCTCTATGGATGATAAGCCCATTTAGCACTGATTTGTGCCAATTTAATTTCGGATGACATTTTCATAATTTATTTGGGCAACGATAGGACATTTTCTTTGGATATTGAAGGCTACAGATCACGGATTAGGCCTGAGGCTATTCTTCAAAGATGATTAAGTCCATTAAGAACCGATTTGGATAGATTTCTTCCGGGTTAATTTTTGGCAGATTCCAAAGTGGTACCATCACAGATTTGGGGCGATTTTTCCTAAATGCCATTTTTTTCGATTCTTGATGCTAAAGATCACGGAATCAGGCCGAGGCTATTCTCCACCGATATTGAAGTCTTTTGTTCCTAATTTCACGGATAATAAGCCCATTAAGCATCGATTTGGGCCAATTTAATTTCGGATGACATTTTCGTAATTTTATGGTCGACGAAAGACCATTTTGTTTGATTATTGAAGTCTGCAAATCACGGTTTCGGCCTGCTGCAATTCTTCAACGATGATTTAGTCCATTAAGCACCGATTTGGCAGATTCCAAAGGGGTACCATCACAGATTTCGGGCGATTTTTCCGAAATACCATTTTCTTTCGATTCTTGAGGCTAAAGATCACGGAATCAAGCCGAGGCTATTCTCCACCAATAATGAAGTCTATTGATCCTATTCTCCACTGATGATATTCCCATTAAGCACCGATTTGGACCAATTTAATTTCGAATGGCATTTTCGTAATTTCTTGGGGGACGAAAAACCATTTTCATTGGATATTTAAGGCTACAGATCACGGATTCGTCCAGAGGCTATTTTTCAACGATGATTCAGTCTATTAAGCACCAATTTGGGAGGATTTATTCCCACTCAATTTTGGACAGATTCTAAAGGGGTACCATCACAGATTTTAGGCAATTTTTCCGAAACGCCATTTTCTTTCGATTCTGGAAGCTAAAGATCGGGAAATCAAGCCGAGACTATTCTCCACCGATAATGAAGTCTATTGATTCTATTTTCCACGGATGATAAGCCCATTAAGCACCGATTTGGGCCAATTTAAATTCGGATGGCATTTTCGTAATATTTGGGGCAACGAAAGGCCATTTTCTTTGGATATTGAAGGATACACATCACGGATTCTGCCTAAGGCTATTCTTCAACGATGATTAAATTCATTAAGCACCGATTCGGGCGGATTTATTCCGGGTCAATTTTTGACAGATTCTAAAGGGGTACCATCACAGATTTTAGGCAATTTTTCATAAATGTCATGTTCTTTCGATTCTGGAGGCTAAAGATAACGAAATCAGGCCGAGGCTATTCTCCACGGATAATGAAGTCTATTGATCCTATTCTCCACGGATGATAAACCCATTAAGCACCGATTTGGGCCAACTTAATTTCGGATGACATTTTCGTAATTTTTTGGGCAACGAAATACCATTTTCTCTGGATATTGAAGGCTACAGATCACGGGTTCAACCTGATGCTATTCTTCAACGATGATTTAGTCCATTAATCACCGATTTGGGCGGATTTATTCCTGGTCAATTTTTGGCGGATTCCAAAGGGGTACCATCGAAGATTTCAGACGATTTTTTCAAAATTCCATCTTCTATCGATTCTTGAGGCTAAATATCACGGAATCAGGTCGAGCCTATTATCCACCCATAATGAAGTCTATTGATCCTATTCTCCACGGATGATAAGCCCATTAAGCACCGATTTAAGCCAATTAAAATTCGGATGGTATTTTCATAATTTTTTGGGCGACGTAAGACCATTTTCTTTTGATATTGAAAACTACAGATCATGGATTCGGCCTGAGCCTATTCTTCAACGATGATTAAGTCCATTAAGCACCGATTTGACATGATTTATTCCGGATAACTTTTTGGCAGATTCCAAAGGGGTACCCCATCCACCAACTCAACCCTCCTACTCTCAACGGAAGGGTTTCGGCTAAAGCGCTCGACTCCTCCGTCTATGTATACTTCAAACCTTGGTCGAGTCATTTTCATGGCCAAAGTGGGCCAATCAAGCACACATATAGTAGGTTGAGAGTTACCATCACGTTGAATTGATAATATTATATGATCAAATTTTATCAGTCTCATGCATACACACTACATCCTTCCCCAAAATAAGACCCCTGTGCAATAGTTATCCTCGTGATTCAAAATCTGACCCACCTTGCCATTTTCATCCCGTCTAAAGAGCAACCCACACTTTCTTTTTCAAACATGTACAGCTAGCTTCACGCACTGTACTATAGATGATAGATCAAGAACACCATTGAAGGGCTCACTCGAGTAGGGTCACCTGCCAAATCAACCCCCCGTTTCCAGAAATCAAACAAAAGTACTACACAAGAACAGAGCTTTGGGGGGAAACAGGGGAAGTAATGGAAACTAGAAAGGATGGCGTAATAGTTTGTTCTGTACAGAGTACTCTTTCTACTTGTATAAAGGTCACAACTGGGCAACCCTACTCTGCAACAAAAGTAAACAGATCACCACAGAGTTTGTCAATGCCTCTCTGTAATGCAAATGTAAGGAGGAGATGACCCACTTCCAGTCAACTAATGGTTGGAGAGAGTGTGGTCCAATTCATGTGAATAATGGTTGCACATATTCGCTACAGACAAGATCCCCAGAATTATCCCCCAAATCTTGGTCCAGGGGAAGTGGGGAACACTTTTCCAAAGAGCTTTGCTTCCAATCATGGAACAGCCATCAAGAAGGGGGTTCCATTAACACAGATTACATGAAGAAAAAGAAGCCAGTCAAACCCAGAAGCAAGGTTGTCAAAACAGAGTGAGAACTAAGAAGCGAAGGTGAGTGAACATATGCTGGATGGTCATCGTTTAGTTATATTTTTAACTGCAAGGTAAACCATATTAACATACAGAGGGAGTAAAAAACAACAATTTTTTTTTACTGTAGAGCTGAGATGGAAATGAGTGTGCCATTTGGTACTACCATTAGACTATACATTCTGTCAGCACCCATGTGCATGAAGAGCATGTCTTCCCCACATGTGGACCTATAAGCAACCATTGAAAATAGAGACAAAAAAGTACCCACCAAGAGGCAATATACCTAGATCATTTAAAAAGGAAACCTGTTTCAGTTTCACCTCCCATCCAACTTTTCACAACTTCACCTGTCTGTCTGCATGATTACAAAAGTGAACCATAAAATACCCTAATTCCAACAACTATACGATTAAAAGTGATGATTAAAAGGCTTGGGAGTAAAGTAAGAGCAATAAAGTCATGATCTTGCTTGCACCCATCTTCGGAAGATCACACATGGGATTCAGGAGTAGTACCTGTGGAACTGCATGAGCAATCAGTAGACAGATGCAACTTCTGAACCAACTAAGCGAAGTGATTCACTAACAACATGATGGCAAAAAGACCAAAAGGATTTGCAAGTGACTTATAACAAGATACATCCTCTTCTCTTTTTAGTATAACTGTCTAGCACACAACTACCAAATGGGAAGCCAGCAGCAAAATAACAAAGAGAAACCCTACTAAATTTACTTCTTCATCTGTTCGTTAAGTATGTAATATGCATTTCCTGTTAGTATTGTCGTATTTTGAGGATGTTGATCACGACTGGCAGGCTTTCCAAGATACTCTACATATCTACCATCCAACTGCATGTATGATTTTGGGCTTTATACACCTACATAGACCTGTGCTCCTTATATCTCCGTCCCTATTTTTCTGCATAAAAAACCATAAACACAGAGATGTCAAAACAGGAGCACCTCCAAAGCTACAGATACTTCCAAGAGAACGCTAATGACTTACACTAGCAATGTCAATCTCTGTGGGCCTGTTAACATTATTACTACACATCTTAGCTGCACATCCAAAACAATGAACAAGATTAGCATCATGGCGAAAAAGAACCAAGAGAAGACACAGTCCAGAAGAACAGCAGCACCTTTTTGCCTTTCCAACCACTGAAGCTAAAGGGAAGTAGTATCACTTGGGGAAGAGCTTGACACGGCTGAAACACTCTCCAAATATGATTTTGATTGAGAAGCAACAACGGCATCACGAGGATCATGTTCAGCATTGCTCCCATGACTACAATCAACACGGTGATTTGAAGAAGAAATCAATAGCAGAATCATGTGAAACCATACACTGCCTCGACACGAATTCAATTTCAGTGCATGCCAAACTTGTTATGCTTTACTCGTGAAACTATGTTTATTTAGCGATGTTGTTGAGCAAGGAGAATTTGGATATTAAAGGGCAGGCAGTCAGGCACACACCTTGAAGTTGCCATATGGTACAAACAAGAAAGAAAATGACTAATCAGATTAAGCTGCCTCAAGTTGCAACAAGCATCTAAAAACTACAGCATCCTTACCCTAACAAAGTCTCCATAGAGGAGAATGCATTCAATATCTCAAAGATGGAAGATGGAAGAAAAGAACAACTACAGACTGAAAAATTCATACTAATGTATGATAATTTGCCCAATGTACACTGTCAAACACACCGAAAGAGCAAGTGACCGTACCAGTTATTCATGTTGCTCGCCACGTTATTTATATTCTCTTCCTTATTACTGACCATGTTGCATATGGGTTTCACTTCAGGCTGAAAGTTTTGATGGGCAGCTTCATCAGCAGCAGACAAAGCAGAGCTCTCAACATTTTCTGGAGTGCAACAGTAAAAAAAAATAAAAATAAAAAACTTGAGACAAATATCTAGTTGATAACAGAGAGATCCTCCGTGTTTCAATTGTATAGACGGGAGACAACCGTAAGAGTAACTGCCCATAATAAACTGACCTTCTTCCTCACTCTTGGCTATCTTTTGATTGAGAGGGGAATGGGTAGACATTGAGACACCACCCATGGACAGGCTACGTTGATGATGGTTGACATAATCACCTCGCAGGTCTGGGAGCTGCAGATTTATGAACCTGCGTCCTTGAAGCTCAATAGCTTGCTGCAGCTCAGCTTGCTCCTCTAACTTCCTTCTCAGCATCATTTCCTGTGAATTGTAAGGCACTCTTCCACCTGAAAACATAGAGATTACGTCATCTACAAGGATAAACATTTCAAGTGGAAGAAAAGAAGAATAAAAAAATGAGTTATCTCAAGGAATCATATACTTCTCCAATTTCAATTTCCCACATACCCATCGGAAGATCATATAGCTCCCTACCATCGAGGCCGGAAGGACTGGAACATGGTGAAAAATTTCCCCTCTCCAGTAACTGGTGATGCAGATGATGATGCCTCCTGCTTTTTTACATCCACAAGTAATACAAAACAATGCTATAAGCAGCAAGAAAAAGAAAGCGGTCTATGCTACCAACAAAACCGGATCATCAAGGGAAAAATAGCCCCCTACTCCGTTGCAGCTTTCCCTTTTTCCTTGTATGGCTTGACAAGCACACGTGAATCACAGATAAAATGAGGGTTTCCCCTGGCCAATATAAGCTTCACTGTCTCAGAATGCACAAAAGTAACAAATCCGAACATTCGCTTCTGCTGATAAGGGATCCTGACATCTTCAACTGGTCCAAATGTGCTTCAAAACAGGGGGGTGAAAACTCGGTCAGTAACCTCAAATGTCAATCAACAAGAAACATCAGAATCAGCTTCACCAACAGATAAGATATCCCACTAATCATAGCAAACTCAAGAACTTAGACTACATCATATCCAGATAGAAGTTAGTCTCACAAAATTATTGTACAAGAAACAGACTAACACATTCTTTTATCATGTCCAAAAACATATGTATATGTTCGAAGTAAATTATATGAACCGCAACTTAGAATGTGAAGCATTGGAAACTGAACAAAACAGACATTCAACACCAGGAGGGTGCAGAATTGTGGCCTTGTCAAATATTAAAGCCTTACCTGAAATAATTTGAAACATCCTCATCTTTGAATGTGCTATCTGCTGGGAATGTCAAGTAGATTTGTCTAGAAGCCGAATTTGCTTTCTCAGCCATTGCCATTGCATAAAATTCAGTTCTTTCGGGACAAAACCGGCCAAACTTTTGAAATTCGTCACTGTTCATAGCTGCTGATGCTCCTCTCAGTCTGCAATGAATAAAGACACATACATTAAGTTAGCTTAAGCAATTGGTGCATGCCATTGGCTGAGATAGTGAAGTGCAACTAAAAGCCTATTATCTGAGCAGTAACAGAATTTCCAGCCAAATGACTGCTTAATTCAGGAAAAGTACGATGAGTTTTGTGATGACAATATATGACTATGCCTAATTAACATGAACAAGTGATATTAAAAGGAACATCATGTAATAGGATATACAGAGCGCAACAGAGACAATGGTGGCAGTGGCAAACACAAGTTGCTTAAGCAAGCAGCAGCAAGCAAATGCTATCCAACAACAAGAACTAAACAAACCCGAAGTATGGTAACAGCCTCATTTGTACAAGTCAACTTACATATATCTAACAGATGATAAAAAATAAAAATAGTACAGCTGCAAATAACTAGGGCAGCCGCTATTCCTTCATTCCCCCAAATCCCAATATCTACTTACATTAAGCCAATACGCAAAACAGGACCCAAATAACCAAAAACAACAATTTAGCAAACCTCACTTTGACACACACACAAAAAAAAGTAACATCCTCATAGACAAACAACAGCATTACTGGGATAAGCTCAAACTCGACATGCACATTAAACCTACATATACCTCTGTGGATCGTTCTGCTGCTGCAACAAGAAGTTCATGTATTTGCTGTATGCTAATCTCTGCTGCTGATGATGATGAGCGGCCTTCAATCTCATCATCCCTTCATGCTGCTGCAAGTAAAGGCTCTCCATTTCCCTCGGTGAACCCACCAAAGCACGACTATTCAAACCTGTAAAAATGGTAAACAAACAAACACAAAAACCATATCATGCCAAGACTTCAATAACTCGCATTCTCACAGAACATTAGAGCAGAAAAGAAAGACCATAGGAGATACATACATGGTCTATACCCAATTCCAAATGCCCCATCTTCAGTATTTGGGCATGCATCACTCTCCGAAAACCTCCTCCTGTGGAGCTGAGCATCTCCATCCACATCTGGATACCCACCTAACTGAAGACCAGGGTCAAATTCGTCATTCCTGGAAGAGGGATCGTCGAGAAAAGATAGGTACTCGTCAAAGGGATAATCTTCAAGGGCATCGGCACTGTTGCTGGAAGAATCACCACTCCCATTGCCACCACACTTCGAGAATGCAGCTCCTTTGAACGAACCAGCGCGTATGCTATCGTAAGACAAGAAAGGACTCGACTTGGGACTGAGCGAAACGGTACTGTTGCTGCTACTTCCGCCGCCAGTACAGTTGCTATTATTAGCGCTAACCGCTGCAAACCCAGATACCGGCCAAGAATGCGGAGAAGGGTTCCTCGCAAAATCAACGAAAGGCCCACCACCAGGTCCGGGAAGCCTAGGAGAAGAGTGGGAAAATGGGTTGTTACCCCTACCGCACCCACCAACAACGACTGGCCTGGAGATAGGATTGAGCGGGGAAGAGGGAGTTGAAGGCGCAGTTGCGGACAAGGTGTTCGGCGAAAGTCCCAAGTGGGTTTTCGCCTTTGCAATGACGCCGAGCAGGAACGTCTCCGGGCCGAAAGCGAGACCGGCCAACTCCCTCTCGCCCACGTCGTGTATGAGGATGTAGCCCATGATTTTGGAGGCGTTGTCCGGGTCTATGGTCTTGATCTTCGACAGGAGTAAGTTGGTGGTCTCATAAGGATCCATGGCAGCAAAAGAAACAGACTGAAGCTATTTTTTTGGGTCTTTCTCCTCCGCTCTCTACCTTTACCTTTCTTCACACTGCCTCTGCTCGAGAAGAAGAGAGAGAGACAGAAAGGCAGAGAAGTTGAAGGGAAGGGGATTGATTGCCCTTTGCGAGGGGGAGTTGGTGCTGCTGTGCTCTGTTTTCCCCTATTTTTCAGCTTTTTCGCATCTTTTCTTCTTTTCAAAATTTTGTTGAAAATTGTTTCTGTTAGGATTTTTCTATTAAACCGCTGAATATGAAACCAAACCAGATCCTGTGAGTATTTTGGGAGGGTTGGATGTTTTCAAGGAGGGAGGAGCTCTCTCCTCTGTTTCAAATAAAGAAGCACACGATCGCGCGAAACAAAACGTAATACGAATTTTAAAACGAACGAATACATCAAAATAGTTATTGCGTTCTTTAGTATTGGTTGGTGCCTCAAATTTTCAAAAAGACACCAGAAAATCTTTGACAGCGTAAACAAAATTTTAAATAGGGTTTAATACGAAACACATGAACGCGTAGGAAAGCACGAAAGTATTCTCCACATCAGGACAACACTCTAGTTTCTAACATTTGTGATTCCCGTAAAAAAAAACAGCCACACGTGGAACAATTTCGTTAGCTCCGTAATTATGTATTTTCGAGAATAAAAAAAATACAACAATCAACCATATCAATTGACGAAATTATGTATATTCAAATAGAACCTACACAATACGATTCATACGCAATCTAACACATTCACGAGTTAAAAAAATTGATTCTTTTTTTAGAATACACATCGACAATGGATAATACAATTTAAGATAAAACAAACTTCTTCCATCCATGGTTTTCTTAGTATGTGTTTTTTTTTTGGGCAATGTCTATTTTTTACCCAAACCTTTTTCAGATTCTTTTATTTTAACCAAACCTATTAAATTCCTAAAAATTATCCAAACGTTAACTCTCCGTCAACTTTTCTGTTAGTAATGCTGACTAAGTATGACCATAATGAGTTGACTTCCTACGTGGCAGTCAGAATACCATCATTTACTATTTTTAATAAAAAGATTATAAAAAAACAAAACAAAATCCCACCTCTCACGTGGACGAAATAAGTAACGGTAACAGAATGAATGCCCAGACTTTTATAAATTATAATACGTTTGGATAATAAATAGAATTTCTATAGGTTTGGTTAAAATAAAAGAATCTGAAAAAGGTTTGGGTAAAAAATAGACATTGCCCTTTTTTTTTCCCGCTTAAGAACCTTCTTTATTTATCAATGAATGATCATAAAACAAACTTCTTCCATCCATGGTTTTCTTAGTATGTGTTTTTTTTTCCCCGCTTAAGAACCTTCTTTATTTATCAATGAATGATCAGAAAAATCAGGATTTGGTACCCTATACATAGAATAAAATAGTAACAAATTTTCAGAGGAAACATGCTTAACTAAAAAAAAACAGTGGTAAAAAAAATAAATTATAAAATAATTCGGGGGTGGAGGATATTCTAGAAAGTACCAATTGCAAATGACAGGATTGGAAAGTGAGAAGAGAGAGAGCGCGCGGGGAAGGAAGAGCCGGGTTTTGAGCGTGAGAGGGACTAAACTTGTAATTTTCACGGATATCGAGGATGGTCTATAATCCCTCTCTATACGTGGATTCATCGACTGGGCTGCAATCCAGTGTTTGCCCAATGAGCGTTCTCACTATTGTCCATGGGCCATTATCCACCGTCCGATTTTGGGTCACTGGTCAAAGCCCATGCTTTAAATATTGCTCATGCTCAGGATTTGACCGGTCAGAACTAGTGACACATAGATGCAGGCAATTAGGATCCAAATCCATGAATCCAATCCAATCCATCCACCAAATTATCCACCTAATCCAATTCATTTAAATCCAATCCATTTGATCCAAATCCAATTGGATTGGTGGATTCATGGATCAATCCATGGATCCAAATGGTAAATTACGATTTGGTACCTATATTTTTTATATTTTACATTTTGGTACCTACACTTTATATTTTTATACGAAAATATCATTGGAAAATTACGTTTTGGTACCTAAAATTTTTCATTATGACATTTTAGTATCTAAACTTTTCAAAATTTACATTTTGATCCAAGCCTTAAATGTTATTTGGATTCATGGATCAATCCACCAATCCATTGGATCCAATCCATGAATCCACCAATCCATTGGATCCAATCCATTTGATCCATGGAGCCACGAATCCAATCCACGAATCCACGAATCCGATCCAATTGCCACCTCTAGATGCACATTTTAGTATTTTACCGTCAGTGAATAAGTTTCCGACAAATTACTCGCTTTTTCGGAGTAAATTTTGTATTTACCCTTATTGGGCTTTAATAGGAAATGGGAATGGAGTCCAGGCGGGCCTCCGACTCGAGAATAGTTCCCATGCTGCGGGTTGGGATCGTAGATGGGCCTTCACGACCTAGTGTTAACAATGAAATTGGGCTTATGGTTTGGGACCATTCTTCATGCTTTTGCTCATCAGTATCCGAATACAACTGATCTGATGATCGTTGAGACTCTGGCCTTGCGCGATGCTATGCGTTACTGTGTGCACGAAGGGTTGGAATCGGCCTTGTTTCTGGGGGGATGCGAAAATTCTTATCGATCATTGCAATAATGGGATCACTCATGATGCGAAGGTTGGTTCTTTGTTGATTGAGATTGCTCATTTGGGTAGGGCGCACTGTAATTACCATGTTCGGTTTGTTGGACGTGTTCGAAATAGGGCGGCTCACTTGGTAGCTCGTCATGCCCTATTACTGTCGCCTCACTTGTTCTCGAGGTTCGACTTTGCTCGTTGGCTATGTACCCGTTAACTTTGTACATTATTATTCCTCTTAATTGAGTGACTTATTGGCAAAAAAAATTGGGTGAAATATCCAATTAGGAGAATTTTTTCTTTTTTTTTTCTTGTATGTTTTGCAATAATTGTAGAACCTATTACGGTATTACCTATGAACTCTTAGGCCAATTATTGACGAAAAATCTAACCGAAACAAATAAGTCAAATTTTTCAAAATAATTTGGTCAAATGGATTGGTTCGTATTGGTATTATTAAACTCGTGAAATTGTAGGGATAGACGCCATGATTATGCTTCAAGAGTCAATTCATCATTCTATTCCTTCACGGTATGTATATGCAATATCAACCTGCTAGGGGTGTCGAATGGGTTGGTTCGTATCTGACTGCACTAGAGCAAACCGACGCTTGGACGAGACCATATCAAACAAAATATAATGTGGTTCGATTTTTGGTCCAATGAATTTTATAAATATCAAATACTGAAGAACAATGGACCGAGATGACATTTATACCGTACCAAAGCGGTCCGAATGCAATTTCGGTCCGATCGTTGACCCTATCATGTCTTTTACAATTTGACTGCAGTTCTAATGAGTTTGGTTTGGTCTAAACCGGTTGCACACCTCTGTAACCAGCCATTCTTCCACAAATTTGCGCCTAATAACAGTGAAGAGGCTAGAGAGTGACATACAGACGTATCAAACCTATCCTCTTATTGTCGAGATCAACAATGCATTGAAAATCGTACTCCATATTCGAACTTCTACAAACCCCTTATTTATACAACATGCTAGACAAATAACATTCACAAAATACCACACATTGAGTCAACTTTTTGCCATTTTACATCAATAATCAATGTAGTCAAAAATTGCACTATAAAGTTTAAAAGCTTATGCGTCTAAGTCACCGAAACACTTCTATATAGACTTGCATTTTCCTAATTAATTTAGTCAAAATTGTGTTTTAAAATTTTAAAAAACTTAGCTATTTACGATTTTAGATCACTAAAACCGCTTGTGCGTAGAATCACACTTTTAACTCATTCGTTATAATGAGATGGTAAACCCCGTTCTCAAGAAAGATGCATAATTATATAGTTATCCACATAGAGGAAAGTGGGCGGGAAGAGAAATGAATTGACCAGTCTGGTCTTATTGTACAAATCCAGACACTGAGAAGGCAAGGCAACGCAATGAAAGAGAGTGATCCATCTTGATACTACAAAACAATGTACGTTCTACAAATTTTGTCCCTTAACTTCATATTTGTAACTATGCTCCCTCTCTCTAACCAAATAAATAACAATGATGTTGTCTGCGATGGGGCTCCCAACAATAAACTGCTACTGTTCTCAGTTCTCACTGTTGCAGGAGGAAGGTTTTTGGGAGCCTCGAAATATGTATTGTCAATTTGTCATTAATGTTTGGGTTCCAATAATGTTTACCAGGCTATTTGGTCCGGGCTTTTTGGGTTTATTCGGAACCGGATTGTATAATTTGGATCGGGACTGGACCGGAATCGGATATCAAACAATTTAATCTTATTTTCGGGCTTAGATTTAAAATTTAAAATTATTTGGGACCGGATAAAAACCGAATAAGAGAACCCAACACCCAAAATTTAACCAACTCCTCATTTTTTGAGGTCTCAGGCCACTCAATTTTTCACAAGCTCAATCTAAAATCAAGACCGAATTGAGACCGGACCGGGTCAAGATCGGACCGGATCAAGACTGGACTGGACTGCATCCAATCCAATCTTTGGTCCTCATATTCCCGAAAAGACCGGACCGGACCGTATAGCCACCCCTATAATTGGTGCATACATTTTTTTGGTTATGGTTAGGGTTCAAAATTGAAAGTTTAGGGTTTAGAGTAATGCATTGATTAGTTGTGATCTTATTTTACATCATCATGTTTGAATAATATACCTAATTGAAATTCAAAATTCAATGTTTTAAGGCTAGAACTGATATTTGTGAGTGCGTCGTATAAGTCACCATATATATAATTTTTTATACAATGACTCTAAGCAAGAGAAAGTTGACGGGGATATCGGGACAAGTCGTTGCAGAACACCATTTAATTCTACAAGAGTACAAGTATCCAATTGAACGATAGGCAAAAAATTGTTCATTCCTCGTCAAAAGTTAGCAATTTGTACCAAGTGTGCGCATATACACGAGATATGACATTAACCATAGTTTACCATCCACACAACAAATCATATCTAATGGGGTGTAATCTCATGCCAATATAAGAAAGGCCAAATCAGGTTGCCTAATTTGGAAATTATTGCAATGTATATTAGTACTGTTGTTAATACATTAACTAAAGGTGGGGAAAGCCCCTAACATATTCTCTCAGCATTTCACAGGGAGTTCTAAAGTCCCTCCAAAGCTGTTTTCTCTTTGAGGATATAAACATGAGAGGTTAGGGTTTTTGCATGATTTTGACATCTCAACCTCTCTTCCCCTACAAACTATGAATGAGAAGAGTGGTGGTCACTCAGAAGCTTGATGCCAAGTTGCCAACCCTCTCAATTGGAGAATATAGACATATTGCAACCCCACCATTGGTGGTCCTAAATTTGTATCCTTATGCTCCCCTCTCCTTCTAGTTGTTGGCTGAAACAAGGGCACAACCAATAGTTGATGCTGTAAATTGGAACAAAACAAAAGCACCTAACATACAATTGACAAGTTAATCCCTCACAACTTTTGAGAAAAACACACTTACTTACTTACCACTATAGTGAAACAACAAATTCGTTTTCTCAATGGATATACGATATCAGTAACGCAATACAGGCATATAAGACACGTACAATGCGCAAAACAGAGAGTACTTCGAAAAGTCGCTCCTCCGAAATCAAAATGGAGGGCATGACAGTAACAATCCTTTCCTCAAACGACGTGTCTAAAACAAATCTTGTATACTACGGTAGTGATCTATATAACTTCTAAAAAAGGGTAATAATTTACAGTCATACATTCATTGACATCAGGGAAGAGATGGTCATTCTGTCCATGCAAAAAGAAAAAAAGTTTGAGGAAACCAATTTTCCCCTATGGAACATTTTGCATGTGACTGTTGTCCAAGTTACTCAAATCATTTTCCGCTTTTTACCCTATCAAACTTTTTGTCCAAAACCAACCAAGTGATGAACTTGCAATTGAAATGTGAACCAGCAGGGGGTTAAAAGTGGGAATTATGCAGTTGGAAAATTGAGTGTTGACTGGTGAATGAGTTTATAGGATTAAAGTTAAATTTGTCAGAAGGTCATGTGACAATGCGACCCTCAGGCCTCAGCCATTCATGTCATCCAAACCTAAAAAGAAACCACAATATGAGACAAAGGAGTCCCCCACCACCACCACCTCCTCTCTCTGATCAAAAGTAGCCTTTTTCCCCCTCTCTATCTTCATTTTCAAATTAAAAAGAAAACTGAATTTTTAGAGCTTCTTCTTGCTCATTATTCATCAGAATCAATCACCTTTTCCCCTCTGTTGCCTGCAAACTGCAAATCCAATCTCCACGATCTGAAAAATTGGGTGACAGATGCATACTACTAACTCATAAGTGTGTAAATCACCTAACTCAACTGAAAGCAGCCTTTTTCTCAACAACCCTTATCCCAACATCCTCTTACTTGGCCTTCAGCTTAATTTACCAACATACAGCAGCAGTAAAAGAAGGGGAAAACTGCCTCCTGCAAACCCATAATCTAATGCACAATCTAATCTATGAACACAAAGAACACAACTAGGGAAGGAAAGAGATAACTTTTTTCCAACTTTCTCATATTGAATAGTAAAAACAAAAAACTTACACAAATGGGAAAGAGAGATCTATTCATTTTTTAGACCAACTCTATTACTGTTACTACTTAACAACAACAAGGTCTTTTGTTTATTTTCTACACTTCCAGCTATATATATGATTGCTGTGTGGTCCAGCTCATTACCTACACAGTGAGAAAGAGGACAGCAATTTGAAAAATGAAAGACCCCATCCTCTCTCTCAAACACATATGATGATATGAATATGAAATGATCCTCTTCCCAACAGTAAAGAAAAGTTAAAAAAAGGAAAGAGCAAATATGATCAGTAGAAATAGTAGAGTGTTTCCTCTGTCCTTTTTTCTTACTTTCAATGTATGCATTATGTATTTTGTTGTTGTAAGTAGTATGTATTGATGATGGTGATCTTGCTCCCAAGGCCTTGTTTGTCTACAGATATGTTTTCCTTTCTTGTAGGGTATATGGGTTTTGGGATATACAGCTAACCGATGATTATGGCGATGATGAGTTTGAGATACATATTCTCCCATCTAGTCATCATCTGGCCCTTTTTTCAGTGTTTCTCCAATAATTCTGCAGCAAGAAAGAAAAAAGAAAAAAGGAAGGAATCAACAAAAACAGGCCAACATCATGAGAACAGTACATGTTGTCTATGTCAAGAACCAGTTGGTCCCAATAACTCGAGTTATTGAGAGAGGTTCAATCGTGGATCATATACCACAACACTAACACGCCCCCTCAAACGAAAGCCACTCACAAGGGCTTGAAGTTTGCACAGGTCTGAAGACAAGAATACCATGTGCTTAACAAATGGGGGTCACCGGGAATCGAACACAAGACCTCTCGGTCACAGAAGGCTCTGATACCATGTCAAGAACCAGTTGGTCCCAATAACTCGAGTTATTGAGAGAGGTTCAATCGTGGATCATATACCACAACACTAACAGTCTATCTGCTTTGCATGTGCACAAAATAGAATCCTATGCATGATTAATAAGAGAAACCCATGTGGTAAATCTTTTTTCCTTACTTACTCTACCGAAGTCAATTCCAAGATCAAGGCTTTATTAACTGGGGCTCTTTTATATGCCAATGGTTCCATACCCAGAGGAAAGCCTGATGAAGGGGGAAAAAAGTTGCATGCTTTGTTTCAGTCTCAAGCCCTCTGAGTGTTTTTTGAGAAAAGGGTAATAAAATATGAAAGAGGGTCATAAAGGCACCAGCTTTTGTAGGGTTAAATGTGTTACCTGGGCATTTGGGGAAAACACGACTTCAAAGGGGTCATGTTGAGAGCAGAAGAGGTAGTGGTGGTGGTGGGAATCTCATGAACTTCAAGAGAAGCAGAGAAGGCAGACTTGAGATGGTCACCGGCAGCTTTCTTGGGAGAATTGAAGAGGTTATCTGGGAGGTGGTGGATATGTTCCAAACTGCAAAATACTTGATAATCAATAAAGTACATGCCACATCTAATCTTTTACTTAACAAATCCAACTTTTATTTGCTGTAAACCTCACATTAACACTTTTTCTTAATCTTTCAACAATTTATCATTCCTAAAAGCAAAAAAAGTTGAACTATCTTGGTCACTTTATAAAACCCACATCTTTTAATGTTATCTTTCACACTGAAAATGGTAAGAAAACAAAAGAGTTACATTTCAACTTTTCTAATCCAGCCATTTCATCCTCAGATTAATTATCTCTTAACATCAAACTCATTAATCAATGTAATTGGTAGTATTGGCCATTGTGGGTAATGTTCCCTTCCCTATCGCAAAAGTTTTGAACAAAAGTTCTTACCTTTCTTGGAGAACATTTTGTCCACGGAAGTATTTCTCTTCATTGCCATTTCCATCGCCTTGGCTGCAAGCAGGATTCAATTCTCGACCAACACCTCCTACAACAGCATTTACAGAAGCTACTGCTCCACCATCATCATGCAGGCAACTTCCATTCTCTGCACCATAATAATATAAATTAAATCAATAGCTCTCATTATCACTCCATAAAGTCGTTGCAGAATCATGAAAGTTGAAACCCACATGGATCTGAATGGGTAATAAATTTAAAAGCAATGATGAGTTTGAAACCTTCAGCTGGAGGAATAGATAGGCCGTCTTGGTCAATGCTACTAAGTTGGACTGGATGGCTGAAACTACGAGCCAAGCCAGTTGGGGATGAAACTGGAGACCTATTGGACAGACCATTAAGGAGCTGCTGACGGTGGTGGTTTTTCAGGTCCAGAAGCTGTAGACTCACCAGCCTTCTGCCATGGAGTTCAATGGCCTGCTGTAGATCAGTTTGTTCCCCTAATTTCTTTCTCAGCAACATCTCTTGAGTACTGTACAGCATTCTGGCCCCTGTAATTTGGTAAGAACCACAACAGTAAAAACTAGGGAATCTTGAATGAAGATGAAAGAAACGAAGCTTCTTCCTTGTTTGATTGTTCTCTTTCATAACAGTTCTACTGACCAAGATTAAGGTCAAATGGCTCTCTGGAATCAAGCCCACGTGGGCTTGAGCAAGCTGAGGGCGAAAAATCTCCTCTCTCCATCTGCTGTTGCTTCCTGGAACAGTTCATTGTACATCATAATCATCAGATCATGAACACAATTAAGGGAGAGAAAGAGATGGGTCGGGTCGGATTGTGGAGAAGTACTTTTCAGGGATTTTGCCTTTCTCCTTGTATGGTTTGACAAGCACACGAGAGTCACAGACAAAGTGAGGGTTTCCTTTGGCCAGGATGAGCTTCACTGTCTCTGGATACAAGAACGTGACGAACCCAAACATTCTCTTCTGCTGGTATGGGATTCTCACGTCTTGCACTGGCCCATAAATGCTTCAAAACCAAGAAAAAGATCCCAACTTTAGCGCACAGGAATAAAAAAGAAGAGGAAAATGAAACTGGGATTGGGATTGGCACGAGTAACCATCACAGACAGCCAAAGTACCTGAAGTAATTGGAAACATCCTCTTCTCTAAATGTACTGTCAGCTGGAAACGTCAAGTAGATCTGTCTGGCACTTGGGTTCAGTATCCCTCCACTCAATCCCAACGGTGAGAAATCGGTTGTCCTCTCCGGTCGGCACCGGGTGAACTTGTGAAGCTCATCCCCCATCAACAATGCAGCCGCTGCAGCTGATCTATTAAGCAGGAAATTGAAACACGCTCAGTCATGTCCAATTAACCAAACAAAAATTACTAATTCAACGGAGGAACTCACCTCTGTGCATCACTTTGTTGCAGAAGCAAATTCATGCACTTGTTATACGAAAGATTAGAAGCTGCAGGACTAGCCATGAACTGCGAGGCAGCAGCAGCAGCTAACTTCTGCTGGTGAACAGCCGACTTCGATCTCATGAGGAAGTCCTGGCACTGTTCAAACCCATTGAGACCATCAGAAACAGCAGCAGTCTCTCCTTCGTGAAGGAACTTGCAGGCCGCCCCATTCTTGCAGAACCCCTTGGCGAAGTACAAGCAGGGCTTCCACCCGAACCCACCACCACCGCCGGACCCAAAGCACACGCCGGGAACCGAGAAGCTCCGCCGGTGGAAATGTGAACTAATACCATCGTCATGACACCCGCCAGCTGTTGGGCTCAAGAGATTCCCCCAGTCAGGCCTTGGATCGAACACCTGGTCTGCATTACTACTCTCGTCGAGGAAAGAGAAGTGGTCACGGTGAACTTGAAACTCATCAATACCCAAATCATTACCACCAACACAACCGCTCCCGTTCCCATTACCATTCCCCACATAATTATACCCATTCCCATTACCGTTACTCCCTCCATTGACGACATTGGCGTAGGAAAGCGAAGGGCTGGAAGAAGCAGCAGAAGGAGACGACCCATTGTCGAACACCCCACAACCACCGGCGCTGGAGATTCTCAGCGCGCTGGGTCTCGAGCTGAGGAAAGGGGAAGGCGAGGAAGGGGTGGACGGCGTCGAAGGAGTGTTGGAATTCGAAACAGAGGAGAACGAAATTGTCGAATTCGAGGACGAGGAAGACGAAGACGATGGGGAAATCGGCAAACCCAATTGGGTTTTAGCTTGGAGGATGAGATTGTGGAGGGAAGAATCAGGTCCGAAGGCCAGCCGAATCATCTCTCGGTCTCCTTGATCCTGCAGCAGGAGGTAGCCCATGATTTTGGAAGCATTCTCTGGGTCCAATCCTTGGATCCTTGAGAACACTGTCTTCGTAGCTTCGTAGCAATCCATAGTGCATGTGAAGAAGAGACTTTTCGGGTGAGGAGATTGACCGGACGGCGACCGGAGGAAAGCTTAAGGTGAGAGTGAGTGAGGGAGCTGAGTTGCTAGCTGTAGAGTGGGGGGGTCTTTGTTTTGTTTTTCAAAAGGACGGAGGGAAGGAGGAGGAGGATGAAAGTTGGAAAAATTGAAAATATGGGGACTTTGTTGAAAAGAGTAAAATCATCAGTGGGAAAATGTGTTTTTTCATCTTCTTTTTTGCCACTTTTGAGTCAGATTAAAAAATTGCATGTTGGAGACCTGGCATGAAAAGAGGAGGAAAAAAAAAAGCTGGTTTTCTTTTTCTTTTTTAGTTTTTGTATAGTTTATAAAAAAACAATTAAATTTGGAAAACTGACCTTTTTTGTAATATTTTTAATTTGGGTGGTGGAATGCTAAACTGATGAATTATTGAGAGTTAATGATGGAGCATGCAAATTGACAGCTTTTAGAGTACCCTACATTTTGGTTTCCGAACACATACATGTTGTTTAAAAAATAATTGGCATGAAAATGCTAATATTGACAAATATGAGATGATTGGTGTTAATATCGCACAATCTCTTTCAAATTTCAGGAGTCGAAACGAATTGTTAAACAATCTATTGTATGATCTTTACTATAGCTCATCGAGTCTTGACTCAGACATGTCATGGCATACATAAACCTTCCAATGACTAATGCGGAACATTCGGTCATGGTCATCTTCTACTCATTTGGAGTCCATATACACACTTATTAAAACAAAACTTTAACACTTTGATACACAGGGAGCGTCAATGGATTGCAATCATTTCGTGTAGCATACCACTTTCGAATGTGTTCTATCTTGTTGAGTTATAACCCTGAGCAATCGAAAACAAGCTTTTTCACATGATCCAATGAGTCCATCAATGTTACACATCATTTTTTCTCTGTCGACAATGCACAGCTCAGATCGTTTATATACGAACCGATATCACAAACGCGTATTATTTCCACCACCCACCCTGAACATAGGCGAAAATCTGAATCGATTGGGGGTCGAACCGAAAGGGAAAACTTCATTTTGGTGCAAAGTAAGAAATGAGATAAATTTGAGTGGTAGCCCTGTTAAAACCAGTGGTACATATGCATAATAAGTTACTTTGTCAGAAAGCCATGTGATGGCCTGATGATGGGTTATGGCCCTCACCCATTCATGTCCACCCAAAAGAGACCACAAAATGAGACAAAAGAGTCCCCCTCCTCCCTCCCTCACTAATAAAAGTAGCCTTTAATCACATGAAAGACAATCTTTTGCTTCCCAGCCCCATCCTTTTGAGCTTTTTTTTACCATTTTCAATTTTCATCTTTATTAGATTCCAATTCCTTCTTCATCAATGGCCTCTTTTTCCTTCCCCCTCTGCTGCCTGCAAGCCAGTGCCATGATCTAACAATGGCTGACAGTCAGTTTTGCTCTTTCTTACTACTTACTGCTAAATCATCTGGAGTCATGAAAATTTGAAAGCAGCCCTTTTTAACATTCAACACTTTTGACTGCATGCATATACTGATACACCTCTGCATCCTCCACCTTATCTAGATTTCTATCAGTAGGAGTAACAATGAAATCTAATCCACCATGTAGAGGAAATCTAGTAAGCAACAAAATTCAAGAGAGATGGAGGGAGAGATCACTTTCAGTACTGAGTTATCACAGAAGCAACAGGCATCAAATGATACAGCAGTAAAAAAAAGGACAGGAGAGGGAAGACTGGTACACAGGCAAAAGAGAGATCATTTCATTTCCTTTCAACTCTATTACTGTTAACTGATGCTACAGAGCTACAATAACAACAATAAACAACTAGGGTTTTGTTTCTTTCTGCTTCATTTTTCCTTTTCTTTCCTGTTGCTGCTATATATATATTAGTGCTGTGTGGACCAGCACATTACCTACAGAGATCTATATATAAAATAAGGGTACAGATTCCATAGTGAGAGGACAGAAATTTTTTAAAAAAGGAAAAGACCCTACCCTCTCTTCACAAAACATAAAAGAAAAAAGGAAAAAAAACCACATAATGATCAGAGTAGCAGTACTACCTTTGTCCTGTCCTTTTGATACTTTTTTTGGTTTTTAATGTATGCAATTATGTATTTCTCGTTGTAAGTAGAGTACGTATTGATGTTGATGATGGGTGATCTTGCTCCAAGATTTCTTTGTCTACAGATCTCTGCCTTTACCATTTCTTCTTCTTCTACCTGTTGAAGGGAGTAATAGTTTTTAGGGCTATACAGCTAACTGATGATAATGATGGTGATTGTGATTTTCTTTCTCTTTCTTTCTTTGTATATTCTCATCTGGCCATCTTTTTCTGCAATAGAAAAGAAAAATCAACAAAAACAGCACAGCATCATGAAAACAGTCCATGTTGACTAAACTATTTAAAACCAATTAGGATGCTTATCTGCATTGCATGTGCATACACAAATGAGAGATCTGATGCATGTGTTGAAGTAAACTCTTCACTTACCCTAATACCAAAGTCAATTCCAGATCAAGGCTTATTATTATTAGCACTCTCATCATATGCCAATGGTTCCATGCCCGGAGGATAGCCTGAGGGAGACAAAAATTGCAGGCTTTGTATGCTCTCTGTGTTTTTTTTGTTTAATGTGGAAAGGGTAATAAAAGGCAGTAACTTTTTAACCGGTTGAATGTGTTACCTGGGCATTTGAGGAAAACATGATTTCAAAGGAGTCATAGAGAGAGCAGAAGCAGCAGCAGTACTGGCTGTTGGAATCTCATGAATTTCAAGAAGAGGAGCAGTGGAGGAGAAGGCAGTCTTGAGATGGTCACCAGCTGCTTTCTTGGGAGAATTGAAGAGGTTATCTGGGAGGTGGATATGTTCCAAACTGCAAAACATTAAGGTAAAAGGGGATTTAGGTGACGTAAAAAGGAAGGATTAAGTCAAAGGAAACAACTTTGAAGCAACAAGCATATACTGCTATTTGTGGCTAATTTCAAAAAAAGAACAACGTGGATATAGCTGGCATCAAATAGTCACCAGGAGCAAAAATTGTAGTGTTTGCCATTTGCCTATTCTGAGTAGTAGTCTTCCCTTTCCCTATCCGACACAGTTTTGAAACCAAATTTCTTACCTTTCTTGGAGATCATTGTGTTCAGTGAAGTATCTCTCTACATTTCCATTGTCTTTGTTGAAATTGTTGCTGTTGTTGTTGTTGTTGTTGTCACAAGAAGGATTCAATTCCCGACCAACACCTCCTGTAACTACTGCTCCACCATCATCATGATGCAGGCAACCTCCATTCTCTGCACCAAAAGTTAATGCATAATATATTTTGAGTATCTCTCGTTGTCACACCATAAAGTCGCTGAAACCCACACGGATATGAAAGGGGTAATAATTTAGAGCAATGATGAACTCTGGATCCAACCTTCAGGGATAGAAAAGCCTCCTTCTTGATCAATGCTGCTAACTCGTACTGGATGGCTGAAACTTCGAGCCAAGCCAGTTGGAGAAGAAACTGGAGTCCCATTGGAGAGACCATTAAGGAGCTGCTGACGGTGGTGGGTTTTCAGGTCCATAAGTTGTAGACTCACTAGCCTTCTGCCATGGAGTTCAATGGCGTGCTGCAGATCAGCTTGTTCCTCTAATTTCTTCCTCAGCAGCATTTCTTGAGTGTTGTACAGCATTCTGGAACCTGTAGTTTTAACCAAAGCTGTAAAAAAAAAAAAAACTGGGGAATCTTGGATGAAGCTCAACGGAACCTTCTTGCTTGTTTTTTCCCCCTTTTCTTCTATCTCACCCTGACTTACCAAGTTGGAGGTCAAATGGCTCTCTGGAATCAAGCCCACGTGGGCTGGAACAAGCTGACGGTGAGAAATCTCCCCTCTCCATCTGCTGATGCTTCCTGCAACAGTTGTACATCATAATTATCAGAACATGAACAGGAGTAATGGAAGGAGAAGAGAGAATAGAGAATAGAACGAATCAGATAGGGTCGGGTCGTGGGGGAAAGTACTTTTCAGGGATTTTGCCTTTCTCCTTGTAAGGCTTCACAAGCACACGAGAGTCGCAGACAAAGTGAGGGTTCCCTTTGGCCAAGATGAGCTTCACTGTCTCTGGATACAAGAATGTGACGAACCCAAACATTCTCTTCTGCTGGTATGGGATTCTCACGTCTTGCACTGGCCCATAAATGCTTCAAGCACAAGATAAAAGAGGAGGGGTGGAAAAAAGAATCCAACTTTTTTAGTGTATAAAACAAGAAAGTAGCTTTCGATTTTTCGTATTAAACAGGATAAGTACCTAAAGTAATTGGAGACATCCTCTTCTCTAAATGTACTGTCAGCTGGAAACGTCAAGTAGATCTGTCTCGCACTCGGGTTCAATATCCCTCCTCCCAATCCCAACGGCGAGAAATCGGTGGCTCTCTCCGGCCTGCACCGGCTGAACTTGTGAAGCTCGTCCCCCATCATCAATGCAGCCGCCGATCTGCAGCAGTTGGGGATCAGAAAAACTCAGCCAACAGAAACTAAAAACCCAAGCTAACAAAAACGAATTACTCTCAAGTCTCACCTCTGGACATCGCTCTGCTGTTGAAGAAGCAAGTTCATGCACTTGTTGTAAGGGAAACTAGAAGCGCCAGAACCAGCCATAAACTGAGCCAACTTCTGCTGATGAACAGAAGAAGACTTGGATCTCATGAGAAGCTCCTGGCACTGCTCGAACTCATTCAGCTTCCCAGGCGAACCCACCAGAGAACTTCCTCCATCGCTCGAGTCTCCTCCGTGAAGGAACTTGCAGGTCGCCCCGTTCTTGCAAAACCCCTTTGCGAAATACAAGCACGGCTTCCACCCAAACCCACCGCCGGCGGCGCCGGGAGAACCCACTTCGTCGGACCCGAAAGAAACCCCGGGGACAGAGAAGCTCCTCCGGTGGAAATGGGCGGCACCACCACCCAAAACATCGTCCTGACCACCGCCGTACCCGCCGCCGGAGCTTGGGCTCAACAGACCCAAGTCAGGCCTTGGATCAAACACCTGGTCTGCATAGTTAGACTCGTTGAGAAACCCAAAGTGGTCGCGGTGAACCTGATACTCATCACCACCCAAATCATTACCCACTCCCCCGTAATGATTACCCCCTCCTCCTCCTCCATTGACGTAGGAGAGCGAGCTGGAACCAGAGCGTGAGTGACTTCCGTTCCCGTTACCGTTCCCGTTCCCGTTTAAGTAATTACCATTCCCAGGACTCAAAATTGACCAGGAATTAGCACCAGGGGAAGAAACCGAGTTCCCCAATTTCTCAAACCCACCGTCGCCGAGCCTCGAGAGGCTGAGAGCGGCCGGCCTCGCGAAGGAGGAAGGAGTGGAAGGAGCGCTGGAGACAGAGGAAGTAGCCGGAGTAGTAGTAGTAGTAGTACTAGTCGCCGCCGTAGGGGAAATTGGCAAGCCCAAGTGGGATTTGGCCTGGAGGATGAGATTGTGGAGGGAAGAATCGGGTCCAAAGGCGAGCCGAATCATTTCTCGGTCTCCTTGATCCTGCAGCAGGAGGTAGCCCATGATTTTGGAAGCATTCTCTGGGTCCAATCCTTGGATCCTCGAGAACACTATTTTGGTAGCTTCGTAGGAATCCATGAGAGAGAGATAGAGAAGGGGAAGGTGGGAAGATTGAAGAGTTTTTTCTCCGGCCACCGGACGGTTGACGACCGGGAAGGAAAAGGGGGGAAGAAGAGGGGGAAAGGAACAGGCAGAGATGTGATGGGTTTTGTAGAGAGCTAGATAAGCTGCAGGGGCGATGAGTCACTCCACTAGTGGGAAGAGAGAGAGAGAGAGAAAGGTGGGGAATTGGAAAGTGGAGAAAGTGTGGGGACTAGTTTGAGAAAGAGAAAAATTATAGTGGGCAATGGGGTCCTTCCTCTCCAGGGAACATCCGGTAGTGGCCGGGGGGCGATAGAAATTGTTTTAGGGCGCGTTTGGTTGGTTTTGTTTATTTGGAAGGGTAATTACTATTTTAATAGTGAGATTTTTTTCCCGTAATTTTTTTATTAGTTAAATCTATCAAAATACAAAGAATTGGGCAAATGTAATTTTTTAGTTAGCAATTTTTGTTAGTAATATTGATTTGACGATATGATATTGACTTGGAAGAGACACAAGAAAGTCAACATTCCACGATTTCGGTATTTTAACCAAGAAAATAGTTAAAAAATTATTAACGATAACGTAAAAATGGATATATTTTTATGCATAACAAAAGATTTTGTCAATTAATAGCATTTTAATAGGTTTGGATAATACAAAAGAATCTGAAAAAGGTTTGGCTAATAAATAGTAATTACCCTATTTGAAATGTATAGGTGTGTTCTGAGTTATGACAATATTATAAGACGGTTAATGTGTTGAACTCGTATGAATGTTAATTAGAATTTGATTTTTTTTTGTGCTTATTGTTTGGTAATCAAAGATGAAAATGCGTGTACTGTATCTAAAATAGAGCGGTTTGTTTCAAGTTCGACACGGTGGTGTGTGATGAACGAGTTGTGAACATATACAAATAGCTATGATGATGAGATTCGAATGTTTTTTTTTTATTGAACAAACTTTGTGATCTTTGTGTGACAATAATATTCAAACACAAGTGAGCGATTGTTAATGGTGAAGGGGTCTCTATCTCGCCGTTTGTTTTGTTTAGGTGTTTTTTTAGGGTTTGTGAGTTTTTTGAGTGTATTGTGAAGTGAATGAAGCGGTTTTATAATTTTATTGAGTTTAATTATATTGTTTTTCTACCATAAATAAATAAGATGATCTAATTCATGATCCTTTTGTTTATGTGGTTCATGAGAGTGTCTCATCTCGCATAATCATCTTGTGAGAACGCGAGGAACCCATACGTGTAATGGGATAATATTGCATTTTGTCTGGTGCACCAAACTTAGTTTGGACTCCAGTCATTAATGAATTTTATTTTATTTTTTAGGCAATAGAAAAATATCAAAAAGTTGAATTTTTTTCCTCGGAGTGTGAGGTTAGCCATTTTATATGAATTGCTCTCAATATGTCTTAGGAAGAAAAACAAACCATTTCATGAACTCCACAACATATATTCATTATTGTACTAAAAATATTTTATGATGTTAAGAGGAAAATTATACACTTTCAAAACTATATGTTATATCCAAAAAAATATTGTCTTTAGTTCTGTTGGGGGTGTGACTAAGGGACGGAGCGCACAGACTAAGCAGTAGGGCGCATAATCGGCGATGCCCAACGCTCGATACCCGCTACAGGTATATAAGGGCTGGAAGCCCTCCAAAGAAGGGGACTTCTCCTCTCTCCTCACTTGACACTTTCTGCTATCTCTCTACACTTCATCTCTCTATCTACTCTCTCAACTCTCTCCATAAACCGACACTAACTTGACCGTCGGAGCTTAATCCGGGGGGCATCCCCGACTCTTTCACAGGTTCTCTCCCTCCCGACGAGATCAGACGAACGGATCGTGAGTCAACCCCACACCAACAAATATCATTGTTCGATCCGGAGCTAGATGGGTCAAACAATTGGCGCCCACCGTGGGGCATTGACTTTGATTCTGGCTTGTTTGGTTTCCGAAGGAGGGTGGGGATTCCTCAACACAAAAATGAAGGAAACTACAGAGCAAAGAAATAAGAAGATCTGGGCGCAGAGGAGAGTAAAAGGGGGTTCCCAAATCTGTCCAAAACCCATCTACCTTCATTGCTCCAGGTTCCCCACTTACCCAGTAGCAAGAAGAGAAGCACAACAAAATCAGATGGTAGCAACGAAAAAGAAAGAAACAAAAAATTGATGAACGAAGAACAGCAAACGCAGATTCCGGCGAACCCATCCATTCCCGACGAGGCTGCAAATGTCGTGCAACTCAGTTCTGAGAGCAGCACAAAATTACAGGTCGAAGAGAGGGAAACAAGATGAAGCCCCGTTTCAAAAAAAAAAAAAAAAAAAAATTGATGATGAAATATCACCTGCTACTATATTCGTCTCCAAGCCATCCGATCCTATGCCGGTTGTCGCCAAGCAGCTCATCCTCTCCGGCGGCGGAATGGCACTCTTCCCCCCTCCACATGCCACTCTGTTCGAACCTGCATATCAAAAAGAAGAAAAGGCAGCTGTATTCCGGCGACATTTTTGACCGGGGTTGTGACCGGCGTTGGGTTACGAAGAACAAGGGAGAAGTCCGGTCGCAGTCTCCATCAGCCTGTCAAGGGTCGTCCTACAGCTTGCCCAAAAAACACTCTACCACTACTTACACCGTTTGTCAGAAAAGGCATATGGGCGCAAAAATCGAGGTACACGAATATCGAGGCGAGTGATATACCTTGGCCTCCGCCATCGTCAACCGCCGCGCGACCAGCTATCTCGGGGCTCTCTATCTGATCGACAAAGGAAGAATTCTTCAAAGCCCGTGAGCCAAACCCTAGGCCCGCTGCCACACTACCGGTCCGCCCCATCCAAGCCCGCGGCCCACTTCCGCGTCACTTAGCAGCTGGGGGATCGGCCCGCCAACTCGCGGCCCACTTCTTTAATGCAGATCCGCGCCTCAAGCCTTGCTCCTCCGCCCGCCTCGAGGTGTTTCCGCGACGCAAACGAGCCCGCGTGCTCCCAACTCGCGGATCAGGCCCAATACTCACGGGCCCCAGTCTACTATGCTGATCGGGTGCGCCAAATCCAACAGACACCAACTCGCGTGCTCATAAAAAAATATTGCCGCCATCCGTACTTGAACCCGCGTCATTCCTCCACCACATGCGCATGCTAACCAGCAGACTACATAGCATTGTTGCTACTAAAGCGCAGCGCGCCCTATCTATCCACTCTCACTCGCCTCAACAGCAACGCTCAACATGGGACGTCATCCAAGTCGCGTCCCCGAGCCCACTTCTGACTACCGCCCAAGCTTGCGGCCCACCTCTCCAACCCGCCACAACTCCGTTAATACCGGTCATTACCACCATAAATGACGTCGCGCTCCTAGCCCCCCGCGCGGGCGTCCATTGCTCTTAATCCCCACCATAACGCGGCCAGGCCCGCGTCCATTTCAGCCCACCAGCGCGCTGCCCGCTCTGCACCAACTCAGTGGGCCGCCATCACCTTGGCCGCGTGCAACCACTCCGCGTCCCAAGCTCATGACCACACCGCCTCCGCCTCTCAGACTAGCGGCCCACTTGTGCGCCAGCAACTCGCGGCCCAGAAGAAGCGAATCAGACTAGCGGCCCACTGGTGCGCCTGCAACTCGCGGCCCAGAAGAAGCGAATCGCGGTCGTTGGGCTCGCATCACTCCCAGAAGCCCATGCGCTGAGCTCAAAAATAATAAAGTCGCCGCCGGGTCTCGAACCCACACCGCTCCTCCCCTATACAAGCAACGCAACCAGCAGGCTACATGCACGCTTGGTGATCATTGGGCGCAGTACCCTCACATCAACGAACCCGCGCCATCATCAACTCGCGCCAAAAACAAATTGTAGTCGTCGCCAGACTTCGAACCCGCGCCACTCCTCCGACAGGCAAGCATCCTTACCAGCAGGCCACAAGTACCTTGTGTTTCAACGGTGTGGCGTCTGAATTTTAACATTCGCACCTAGTTCGAAAGAACAAAAATTAGCAATAGTCCAGCACTATTCGCGCAAAAGGACATGGTTCGAAAGAACAAAAATTAGCAATAGTCCAGCACTATTCGCGCAAAAGGGCATGGTTCGAAAGAACAAAAATTAGCAATAGTCCAGCACTATTCGCGCAAAAGGACATGGTTCGAAAGAACAAAAATTAGCAATAGTCCAGCACTATTCGCGCAAAAGGACATGGTTCGAAAGAACAAAAATTAGCAATAGTCCAGCACTATTCGCGCAAAAGGGCATGGTTCGAAAGAACAAAACATTAGCAATAGTCCAGCACTATTCGCGCCCAGTTCGAAAGAACAACCTGCAGGCTACCACTCAGGTTCTGTTTCAATGGCGCAGCGCCTGCCTTTCAACTACTCCTGCCGCCACTGCCAATATAAAGCTAAGTACTCTATCCCTCCATCATTATTAAATTTTTAAAATATTTTACTATCCTAAGCGTTAATGGCGCTAATGGGGGGCAAGACGCAAGAAGCTGGCACCGCGTCACTCAAACGCGCCACCAGCTGGGGGGCAACTGGGGTACATAGGCCCCACCCAAAATTACCGACAAAGATTTAAAAAAATAAAATATAAGCTAGTGATGAGTTAAAACTCACCACCAGCTTGGGGGGCAATTGTTGGGGGTGTGACTAAGGGACGGAGCGCACAGACTAAGCAGTAGGGCGCATAATCGGCGATGCCCAACGCTCGATACCCGCTACAGGTATATAAGGGCTGGAAGCCCTCCAAAGAAGGGGACTTCTCCTCTCTCCTCACTTGACACTTTCTGCTATCTCTCTACACTTCATCTCTCTATCTACTCTCTCAACTCTCTCCATAAACCGACACTAACTTGACCGTCGGAGCTTAATCCGGGGGGCATCCCCGACTCTTTCACAGGTTCTCTCCCTCCCGACGAGATCAGACGAACGGATCGTGAGTCAACCCCACACCAACAAATATCATTGTTCGATCCGGAGCTAGATGGGTCAAACAAGTTCCCTTGCTTGTTGTGGAGTTTGATTTTTGGAGTTCTCTAGTTTCAAAACAATGTATCATCAATGTCTCTGTAATACAACTTACAAGTATTGAAAAAATAACACAAACCAAAACATTTTCGACCAAACGGCCCCTTTGCTTTCCTTCCCTCTTTCTTTGAAATTTCATTCAGTCTGGTATTTAAAAAATTTAAGATATTGGAGTCTTTTTTTTTAATATTAATATGT